TCTTCCCTTTGGATCAATTCAGTAAAGAGACCTCGTCTGCCATGAAATTCCGCAGAAGCCTGAGCTGGTTTCAGGACTAAGCAAGACAGAGAAAGCAACATTTGCAAAAGTAGATTTGGGAATCCAGTTTTCATTTGGCCAATTAAAAAAAGGAACGGAACAGCGGAAACCTAAAGGGGTTAAAGGGACAGGCAAAAAAGCCACCACAATGCAGTTCTGTTTTCAGAAGGTACAGGGGAACTGAGAAGTAGCTCCATTGGGAAGAGAAGGAAGAGAATGGAAGCTGCTGTTATCTTGGCCAGTAGCACTCTCCAAATTGTGCAAGGCTGGACTGAAATATTTCCAATTCCTCAGCATTAGGATTACCCATTTTCCTACATTAATATAATATAGAAAAAAGGGGGGGCAAGATATCCTGGCATATTTTTCAACCCCAGCCGTACGTCACAGAATGCCTGGGATGGAGGTGAGAAGTGCACCTGCCACCGAGTCCCATCTCTGGTCAGCAACACAGAGGAAAGGATGGCATCAGTGCCTGATCTCAGCTTATTGGCTCAACTGAATGAAGCAAAGTTGAAGATGTTCAAAAGAAAAATAAAAGGGATTCCAAGGACAGGAGGCAAAGCAACTTCTCTGACAAAGAAACCCACACCTGGATTATGAATATCCAGGGAATACCAGCAATTTCTTGGGCTGTTGAATGTACAAAACAGGCAATATATTTACCTAATTATTTTTTATGGAACTGTGTTTCAGTCACAGAAAATACTGCTGTTGAACCTTGTCATTTGACTGAGAATCTGGGGAGGAAGGAGAGAAGAACGAGCGCAAAACATCCACAATCTCGTTACTTTGTTAGATGAGAGGCCGCTGCATGTACAGTACGAATAAATCTCAGGACCCATAATTTATTGTGCACTATTTCTTCCTATAAGGAGTAAATTGAAAGCTGCTCACAGCCAAATGAATTTGAGTAGCAGCAACAAACAAAGAGCCTCACATAACCTGCAGGAATTAAATGTAGGGAGAATACATCGAGGAGAGGGGAATAATCTAAAAATGAAACTACCTTATAAGCATTTGCTCTCAAATTTATACATCACATGATCAAAGCTCCTTAAACACTCCCCTTCGTGTCTGTAACCCATAGTGTCTACAGCATATGTTCTCATTACCTTTGGAGTGAAGTCGGAAGGAAGGGAAATACAGGGGGAAATACCAGTAAGAGCTATAAGCTTGACTCATAGGATGCTGTGAAATGGTCACCTCAATGTTACTCTGTGTTCCTCTGTGACAACCTTACGGGCTCCATTCGCTTGCCAGTCACAGCGCTTAAGGCTGCAGCCTAAATGAATTTAGCCAACAGATGTTGTGTGCAGAGGGGCAGCCAGAGAGACCTCCAGTTTTAAATATGGACAAATTACCCCATCACTTAAGAGGGAGATGAACCTCACCAATCTCAGATGGGAGTTATGAAAAGAAGTAAAATAAATAAATAAGCAAAGTTCTGCAATTATCATGAACAAATTAAGCATTTAAAATGCCTTCTCTTGAACTCTTCAGCTTTTAGTTGTACAATACAGTGTTAACTATAACATCAGCACTGCCAGAATTGATCACTTTTAAGATGCAGGATTTAACGCAAAATGTTTAATCATTCCCGATGAAACAAAAGGGTGCAGAAGCATACATTTTGGTTGGAACATGACTACTTAAGCTCCTAGTTTGTCCAACAAGCCCCTCAGAAGGAAAACCTTGCATGGAGATTCCATTTTATTGCCAAGCAAGAAATAACCATGTTCTCAATTTTCTGTATTGTGGCAAAATACACGTGGCATACATGAGGCACGATCCGGATGCAAAGTGTTCACTTTTTTCAGATTGATTTCCTTAAACCTAAAGTCTATCTGCATTTTATACAGATATTTCACACCACAACCATGGCTGCCAACCTGTTGTTAGAGAACTCCTACTGGACACATCATGACTAGAATTTCTATGCTAGTTATGATGCCATCTGCTAACAAACAGCTGTAGTCCAATTCCAGTGAAAGCAAAGAAGTTTTGCTATAAATCACAGTTATGGATAAGCTGCACCAAAGGCAATTGAACACACCAGCAGGATCTGCTGTTCCATTCCAACAAAAGGCAAAGGGGCCTCTTGCAAGAACCACATCATAAATAACTTTGGATCACTATACTGTAACATTTCAACAGGACCTACAGTCATAAACGTAAAGAGTCCATCCAGGTCCATTGACGTCAATGGGGAACTTTCCATTAGATTCCATAGAGAATTGGATTAGGCCCAAGATAAATGCTAAGAAGGGAAAGGCTACTCAATGCACTTACAACATACCTTTTTATTATTATCACAAATGGGCAGTATGAAATATTGTCTCAGTACTAGCCTATCAAATTTCTAAGTGTCTGGTTCCCAGTGCTATAAGAATATTTTATATATGGACATTGTGAATTTGAATGGGAAATATTTGAACATTATATCATACGGGCAATTTTAGTGCTTTAGGCATTCAAAACCTTCTTCTTCCACAAAAAGAATCACCGATAGATGTTTTATTTTAGCTCAGATTCCACAATTTTCATGTTACAGAAATGAAGCTTTCCTACAAAGTATTGGCAGGACTGACTTCTGCAATAGACATACATGTTAACTGACCAACAGTTGCCTTAATATACATTAACTAGAAATGTAGGTTGTGATGCAATTCTTATGGTTTAGCAAATTCTAGTGGCCAATTTCCAGGCACAACACACTGCTGAAGATACTTTCAGTGGAGTTTGGCTTGCATTGAACAAATATGCTTTGCAATTCTTAGCAACACTTTAACGTAAGAGCAAAGAGTAGTCCCAACTAGGAAAGGAAGAGTTAGATCAAGAGGACTTCGAAGTAAAGCATGAACCACAAGATGCGGCTGAGGCTGCTTTTTCTTCCTCGGTCCGAGAAGCAGTTAAGGGGGGGCCAGAAGAAAATGATGGAGACTCTAAATGTTGAAATTGAGAAGAATCTGAACTCACCCATGTATACATAAATGCACACCAACGGGCTGCTAATTTTGCCTGTATAGTAGTACATTTAACTGGCTTGCTACCATGGAAATTGTTATCTTCAAAGGCATTTTGCCTAAATGGAGCGCAAAGTTGATCACAGGGAGCTGGGATGTCCACTCTCTGCAGCAGCAGCACTAGCTTAGCTAGAATTATCCCACAGGATTTTGGTGAAATCACTGAATAAATATTATACATTACCACAACTATATCATTATGCAATTGGAAGACCCCTCTACATTGCAGTTTTTTCTTCAGGACTGGGATCCATTTGGATTTTAATTTATTTTTCTTCTTTTTCCCTTTTGTCTTTTCTTCAGGTAGAGTGTGTGTGTGTGTGTGTGTGTGTGTGTGTGTGTGTGTGTGTGTGTGCGGTTTGCTTACTCTCAGCTTCTGAATCTGAGAGATGATCAAATTAAAGAATGATACTTGTATGCTGTAGTAACACCACACCACTTTAAGTAGCTTTAAATCACAATCCCAAGGATTCATATTTACCAGGAATAAATGAAACGGATGGGATTTCTTCTGATATAATCCCTTTGGGATGATTTTGCCCATTGAATAGTGCTAACTCTGCTCCTAGAACCTCAAGTCAACTGGCCTAATGGACCAGGATAGGAGCCCAACCAAGTTTATTCAAAACAAAGTAAACCAAATAAATATATTATATACTGCTGGATCACTGAAACAAAAATTGAGATATGTAAACACGTTGTGCAAATGAAGAACTCAAATTTAGGTAAGAATGTTTCGTTCCTTTTATTGTTAGTAAGAATTAATAGTATAAAATTAAGCCCTTGTGAAAAGCTGCGGTGCCTGAACCTCGGAGAGTTGGGCTGCTGGAGAGCGATCCACACCTCCTGATGCCGGATTCTAGGAAGGGATCTATCCTGGATCGTCCATGTGTTAAAATACTTACTGCAGGTGCCGGAAAGGATGGCTGGCTAAACCTTTTGCCCACAATAGTCACGTTGTAGGCTTAGTATTTTAAAAGGTACCTATGGAAAATACAACCCATTGCAAGTCCCTATTGCCATCAGAAAGAGTAATTTGTGATAAAAATAAATGACAAAAAATATTGAGAGAAGACTAAAGTTAATGTCTATAGATTTCTTAAGATTAAGATACTCTAGCAAGTATACTGTAGGTAAGTCCATGGGTCTGAGCTATCACATTGGAGTAACTGATGTTTCCTTGGGTCCCTCACACATACGTGGCTCATCTTTTAATAACATAAACCTATGTAATTTATCTATGTGAAGCAAATTCTATTTAATCCAGTAGAATACTCTTCTTTTAAAGGAGAAAATATATCAATAATTAATTTTGTCAGGAAAAAGTGGTTTGCATTTGTTTCACCCAGCATGCTTTTTAAAAATGTGTACATATGTACAATTTATGCTTCCTTATTTCAAGCTATAAAATGCACACAGTTTTATATCATTTAACATCTGTTGTGGACTATTGCAGAGACTTTCATAAAGTCAAAATAAAAGGGGGGGAGTTCCAAAACTCTCTAGTCTCGAGGGTCACCAGGGGCCTGGAGTCTGCTCTTCCATGTCTATAAAAAGGGACCGATCCACCGGCCTGAGTGGCTGCAGCTTCATTTCACGAAAGGGGCCGCCGGACTTCCTTTCTCTGGCAAGGCAGGTCCCAACTTTCTTCAATCGGATAGGCGAAGCCCCCTCCCCTCAGGCAGCCAGCCGGCCCCTCCAAGGAAAGCCCTTCTTGTCCAGGCAAGCAGAGGGGCAGGTGGGCCTGAAGCAGGATTACTGCCCACCCCCCGCCCCCAGGCCCGAGAGCCCGCGGAGGAAAAAGCCAAGGCCGGACGGGGCGGCCTTTTTCTCCCGCAGGGAAAGCGGAACGCCAACCGCTGGAGGCTCTGGGCCGCGCTGAGAGGCTTCCCCGTCCCCCGCGGGTCTCCTTACCTCACGTCTCCGTAGGCGCCCGCGTAGCCCTCCATCCAAGGCCCGAGCTCCGTCTTGATGCAGCCGGTGGCCGGAGCGAAGGGCATCCTGCCCATCACGCCTCCGGGGTACCACACCTCGGAGGGCAGGTCGGCTCCTTCCTGGCCGGGCGGCCCTTGGCCCCGGCCGTAGCCGAAGGGGGTGGCGGCGGCGGGCTCGGCCGAGGCGCAGGGGCCGTAGACTTGCGCGTCCTCCGCGAAGAAAGGGTGCCAGGCCGGGCCCGGAGGGGCGGCGTAGTGGGGCGGCAAGGCGGGCATTTCTCCGGCGCGCCGGTACTGCGCGCCCCAGAGGCCGCCGGCCGCGTACTCCAGCGGGCTCTCCAGCTTGATGCGGCCGTGCGAGGCGAGCGCCAGTTGGAAGTTGTAATAGTCGCGGCTCTGGAAGGCGCCCGCCGGCGGCTCGTCCAGCTCCGGCGAGCTCTTGAAGAGGCTGAGGTGGCCCGGCACGTCCATGGCCAGCGCGCCCTCGCCGCCGCCGCCGCCGCTTTCCTGCTCGGCTTCGACGATCTTGCAGCCCCCCACGGCCACGGGCCGAGCTTGCGCGCCCGGCAGCGCGAACATGCAGTCGCCGCGGCTGGCGCCCGCTTCGCCGCCGCCGCCGCTGGGCCCTTCGAGCACTTCCACCGCCAGGCCCATGGAGGCCGAGACGGCTTTGCACAGCTCCTTGGCGCTCTCGCCCAAGTAGTCTTCCTTGGCCGCGCTGGCTTCGCCGCCGCTCGCCGCCCCGCTGCCGCGCGGCTCCCCTTCCGCCGCCGGCAGGAGGCTGCTCTCGGCCAAGAGGTCTTTCAGGTCCCCGGAGCAGCTCTGGAACGAGGGGGCCAGCAAGGCCAGCGCCGAGGAGGCGGCCGAGGAGGAGGCGGAGGCGGAGGCGGCGGCGGCCGGCTGGAGCCCTTTGCTGCCTGGCGCAGCCTCATCCAGCGGCAGGTAAGAAGGGGAGCCGGGGTGCTGCTGCTGCTGCTGCCGCGGGCTAGCCGGACACGGGCCAGCCGACGGAGAGGCCGCGCTTGGGCCGCTGGGCCCGATCTCCTCTCGCGCTCCGCCGGGCCCGGGACTCTGGAAAGCCTCGCGGACGCTCTGGAAAAGGCTCTGGAAAGCTCCGCGGAAAGTTTTCGCCGGCGGCCGGCCGTAGACCCTGCCCAGCCCGACGTGGACTTCCATGGCCCGTTGGCGGCGAGGGCGGCTGCCTCACTGGCGAGGGCGGCTTCTTCGCCCCACGGGGAGAGTCCTCGGCGGAGCGCGGATGGCCGCGGGCACCTTTCACCTTTCTCAAAGCAGGCGGCGGCGGCGGCGGCCGATCATCCCTCGCAGAGCCGTCGGAGAGGCCGGGTCCCAGCAGGTGCCGCGCCAGGAGAGGCGGCCCGCCGCTTTCGGGACCCCGATGCGGAAGTCGGGGCTGCTCTGCTGAAGCGCCCGAGCGCGCGGCCTAGGAGAGCGGCGGCTGCCAAGCGGGAGAAGCCTGTCACGCTGGCTCCGCCGGGCCTGTCGCGACGACGAACTTTCTGGGCGGAAAAGGCGCGCAGGCGGCCCGGCTTCACGGACGCTCCGGCTGCTGAGCGGCGCCTGTCTTGCGGGCGGACGGGCGGAGCGGCCGCCGACGAGCGAGCCGAAAGTTGAGGGCGAGCGGCGTGCTGACAGGCGCACCAAGAGGCGAGCGGCCTGCCGTCCTCTCCGCTTCCCTCCCCCGGACCAAAGCCAAGCGGAGCGGCTCCGGCGCGCGGACCGGCAGCTTTGGGGCCGGCCGGGCCGCCCCGCCCCTTTTGCCCCCGCCTAGCGCAGGCAGCGAGAGGTCGCGCTCCGGCCGGCCGGGGAGGAGCGGAGCCGAGCGGGGCGCCCGGCAGCCCAATCAGCGGTGGCCGAGCAACAAGTGGGCGAAGCGCAACAGGCGGGCGGGCCGGCGGGCGGGCCCTGGGAGGGGCCGCCTGCGCCTCCTTCGCCGTCCCGAAAGCCGGAGAGCCCCGCGCGAAGCCCCGCCGTTCTGCTTGGCGCCGCTGCCCTCCTCGGACTCCGGGCGCGAGGGAGACAAGCGGGGCCGGGCGCGAAGGCTGCCGGCCTTGCCTGGGAGGCTGGCGGCACCAGGCAGGCTCGGGCTTTATGTAGCGGCTCTCGGGCGGCCCAGCGCCGCTCCTCTGCATACGCCCGCCCAGCTCCACGTGCCGAAGGCAGAGCCCGCTGAAGCGAGCCCACGAGGCAGCGCCGCCGTAAAGAGCGGGCCGGGCGCGACGCTGCCCGCTGCGCCGGAGGCCCAGCCCGACGTGAGGGGGAAGCGGAGCCCGCGGACCGCCGAGATCGCGCAGAAGGGAGGCTCGGCTATCCCGCTGCGGCCGCCCGGCGGTCCCGGCCGTCGCTCTGCCTCAGCCGGCCGCGGGCCCCGGACCTTCCTACCGCTGCTTCTCCGGCAGCCTTGCCGGCTCTTTGGAGACTGCGGCAGCCCTGGAGCCCTCGGGGAGCCTTTTGTCCACGGCCTGCGGGGAGCTTCTGCCCAAGAGAAGCCGTCGAGGCCCCTGGCAGGTGGGCGCCGGAAAGGGCAGCGGGCCCAGCGGCGCCTCAATGGGGCCGAGGTGCTTTGGCTTTCAGGGCTGCCCCTTCAGAAATGGGGCCGGTGGTCCAACCCAGAGCAACTGGCAACTTCCAAGTCAGAAAACTCGCCCGACCTGAAACGGCCTACAGTTCAGTCAGGATGGGAAGCATCTGGGGGGCTTCTGAGTTCCTACTGCCATGTCCGCCCCCCCCCCAGTTCCTGTAGGCCGTGAAACATGAACTGTATTGCCATTGGCCAAGGCTGGTTGAGCAAGGAAGGCTGAGAAGTTGTTTGAAACAAAGTTTCAGAAATACCCAGAAGAATATTTGGAATGGGACTGTTTTATTCTGAGCTTATTTCATGTACGTCTGTACTGTGCAAACAATGTTTATTAACCTGTGCATTCTTCCTTAACTCTAATACAGGATTTAAATTGATGTTCTGGATATTTTTTGCTATTTTTTTTCTCTAGAGGTTTATGTTGAAAACATGTGTTAACAAGCAATGCAAGCTTAGTTATAAAACCACTCTTCATGATCAAAGTGAAGAGAAACATTTTTTCCTCCTTGTATAAATGTAGTCAGCTAATATTTGTATTCAAGCAACTTGCCCTAGCTATAACATTCTATAAATTGTAATCCCAATTTATGGAGGGCAGAAGATCCATGAAGACAAGATTAGAAGCTGATCTTACTGTACCCACAAGTCAGATAAAAAGTCCTGAGTCCTCCTTTCCCCAAATGGATGTGAAGAGAGCAAGAAATTTTACAGATGGTGAACGATGGTGTAGAAAAAAGCTGATGTAAGAAAGAGAAGCTATTCAGGCCTGGCCCAAATTGCTGTTCTTTAATGCTGGGCTTGAGGGTCTGAAGAGAGTTCACCATTTCTGGCTCCTAAAGAACCTCTGCAAGTAAGCTGTAAATTTCCCCCCAAAAAATTTGCACTCTTCTTGCATAAAGATATACTCACAGCCTGTCGTACAAAAGGGGGAGGAGTGTTGATAAATTTGTAAGTAAAGAATGAATAAGAGAAAATAAAAACTGCTGGTGACTAAGAGACGCTAACTAGTACTGCAGTCTGTTCCAATAGACGGTAAAATGAAAACTGATCTAAGCCAAATGCAGTTTTTAAAAGGCTGGGAAAACTCTCCTTACTCCTTAAGGGTCTCAGGCGCACAGACTGAAAAGACCGTGAGTAGATCCACACAGCTGTTTGCTCTACTCCTCGTGCTGTCTTAAATGTTGCTGCCCCCCCCCCAGTGTGGCTGGAATGTGAAGGAGGTAAAATGATGGAATTACCCTAACTCGGCCCTGCTCTACGTAGATCACACACTCACGATGTTCTAAGGGACAAATCGGCTGAAATGCAAGCTCCATCCACCATACTCCACTGTGTGAGATCTCCTCCAGTTGGTCTGCGTAATGTTCTGGTTGTTCCATGCACAGCAATTGGCCCGATTGTTGTTTTGCTGTCACGCTAAACTTTTTTTAAAAAATTCCTCAGCTGTACTCATTTATTTCACTGTTTGACTTAACAACCAGTAGAGCAAAGAGTTTTTGTATCTGTTGGCTGCCATCTACTGATTATCCCCATTTATGCAGCTGCTGCTTGGAAGAGCTGAAGTTTCAAAAAAGGGATTAGTTGGGGGGGGGGGCATCTTTGTGGGAACTGTATGCTAAGAACATCCTATGAAGGAAAGAAATGAGAAATCGGGGCTTCTGAGATCTGTGGCCACCGGGAAAGGAATTTGCTTCCAGACACCTTACAGAAGTAGAGAAGGCATTCCTACAATTACACTTCAGTTACTGACTTTGAGCCAGGAATACTGTATACTAGTCAGTCTTAAGGCTTCTGCTAATCAGTCATCCCATTAAAAAAAAAAAAAAAGGCAGGGGGAGGGAGCAGGCAAAGTGGCTATGAAAGCAGGTTCTGATCTCCCTCAGAGCCAAAAATGATTGAGAAGAAATCTGGGTAGGAGGGGGCATCCACAGGAAACGGGCAGAAACAGACTTCTGGAGATGTCTATGGAGATCCTCAGTCATCCAGGTCATGGTTGTCCCAAAGGTGCTTTTTCTAGAGACAACTCGACTTTCTGGTTTTTCTTTGAAGACGTTTTGCTTCAAAGCTGAAGAAGCTTCTTGGATCAGAAGCGAAATGCCTTCAAAGAAAAACCAGGAAGTCCAGTTGCCTCTTGAAAAAGCACCTTTGGGACAGATTTCTGGAGCAGAAATGGCGGATTGAAGATGTCTCGGTGAGTAGCAGGGCTGGCAACTGCAGCAGAATGTAGAGCTGACGAGTAGAGCAGCTCTTTCCAACTCCTCTTGGGATAAGCAGAGGGCTCGAGGTCACTCACAAGACACAGGCGAAATTGTGGATTGGTAGAGTTTATGTACCTCCTTTTCTAAATCACTTTCAGAAACTGCTTTTTCACTGCTTTTTGGCTATTAAGCCACCTTTGGATTGACAGATTTTAACACTGAATTTCCTTTAAGGGCCACATATACAGATAACATGGTGGGGGTGTGGGGTGGGGGAAGAGGGATAAACAACATTCCCATTCCTTTCCATGGGAAAATACTTTTGGTTTGAAACATGATAAGATTTTAAAAACTTGACATTAGACGGAACTAAGAAATACAATTAAAGGAAAAGGACACTCAGTTTACCTATTACAAGATGAAGCAAAATATTTTAACATTTGGATATAGTAGATCTTTTTGAACAATGAAATCAGAAGTCACATTTTAAAAATGCCTGCTTCTATACATAGTTTGTGTCTAAACTCTTGTTTATGGAAGCAAAGCAAATTCTACCTAGAAGAGTAAGACTGAGTTAAACATGGATTTTTACAAGAATGACTCCGAAAAAGATGCTACACTGGATACACAAAAGAAACCGACTGATGTTTTAATAATTAAATGAGATATACAAAAAATTATCCAAAACTATAACCTGGATAATTTTCCTATATTAGATTTACAAAAGAGTCTTCCTAAAATTTTGAAGAATTTTGAAGGAACAGAGAACAAATGAAAAGAAATCAAGTTCTATGGCATTATTTGAAGGTATGAAAGATCACAATTCTAAGAGGTAAAAGGAAGAAATATAAAGTTGGTTTCTCAAATCAAGGTTAAGATAGATACTATTTTAACCTTATCTCTGGTAATCTTTAAGTTTGCTGACATCAGGACTGAAATGATGGTGCCTAATGGATTTGTTTTAAATAAGAGATGGCATAGGCGAAGTTGAGGTCATTTGTACTTTAAGAGAAGGTGATAAGTTATTAAAATTGTTTAGATTTGTTGCAAGGGTTATAGGAAGTCATTTTATTTCTTTCTCTTTACAATATTTTTATTTTTTCTTTACTATTTCTTTCTATTTTTCCTTTCTTTTTTCCTGCATATTCTATTTGGTTTTTTTTCCCTATTTTTTCAGTTGATATTACTTTTTATTGGTGCAATTTTAATCTTTAATAAAATTACTACCATATGTATTTTTAATAAAATTACTACCTAAATTATTACACATACTCACAATATATATAACAGGGTTGTTACTCAGGGGGAATTCGCCTGAAATGGGATATTTCTTATCTGCAAACCTCTGGCTCAACTTGGTTATATATATATATATAGAGAGAGAGAGAGAGAGAGAGCGTGTGAGAGAGTGTGAGTGAGTTCTGGATGCCTTGGAATCCATGCAGCCTCTCGAGTTGTCACAAATGAAGAATCTAGAATAACACAGATAACTCTGGCCATTTGTTTCCGTCTAGAAGGGAATGTTCACTGACGTATGCAAAAGAGTGTTAAATAATGATAACAGGATCTAATGAAATTCCAAAACTGCATGTGTGGTGAAGATCTCAGTACCACAGAGAGATCCAGTAAAATTAGATCAATCAGAATAGAGCTGGAAGGGACCTTGGAGATCTTCTAGTCCAGCCCCTTCCTCAAGCAGAAGACCCTATACCATTTCAGACAAGTGACTTTTCCAGTCTCTTAGTAAAAACTTCCAGTGATGGAGCTCCCACAACTCCCGGTGGTAAGCTGTT